CCTCATGAGCACAATTAAGTGTTCCACAATACCTATTCTTTGCAGCTTTATCTATAGCTTGTCATAGTCCACACAGTAAAAAAAACCAATAAAGCATCTTTCTGTTAGTCTCTACTTTCAGCCAAGATCCATGTGGCATCAGTAATGATATCCCTAGTTCCATGTCCTGTTTTGAATCCGGCTTGAATTTCTGGCAACTCTCTGTCAATGTACTGTTGCAACCAGTTTTGAATGATCTTCAGTAGACTTTTCCTTGCATGTGATACTAATGATGTTATTCAGTAATTTCCACATTCCGTTGGGTCACCTCTCTTGGGAATGGGCACAAATATGAATCTGTTCCAGTCAGTTGGCCAGGTAGCTGTCTTCCAGATTTCTTGACATAGATGAGAGAGTGTGTCTCCAGTGCTGCATCAGTTTGTTGAAAGATTTCAGTCTGTAATCCATCAATTCCTGGAGCCTTGTTATTTGCTGATGCCTTCAATGCACCTTGGACTTCTTCCTTCATTATCTTTGGCTCTTGATCACTTGCTGCCTCTTGAAATGGTTGCGCATCAACCATTTCTTTTTGGTACAGTGACTGTGTATTCCTTCCATCTTCTTTTGATGCTTTCTTCAGCATTCAGTATTTTGCCTATAAAATCATATTGCAAGTCATGGCTTGAATTTTTTCTTCAGTTCTTTCAGCTTCAGAAATGCTGAGCGCGTGTTCTTCCCTTTTGGTTTTCTAACTCCAGGTCTTTGCACATTTCATTATATTACTTTGTCTTCTTGGGCTGCTCTTTGAAATTTTCTGTTAGTTCTTAAACTCCTCGTTTTTTCCATTTGCTTTAACTTCTCTATGCTCAGAGTCTTTTCTGACATCCACTATGGTCTTTTATTTCCTGTCTCTTTAATGACCTTTTGCTTTCTTCCTGTATGATGTTCTTGATGTCATCTCAGTCTTCTGGTTTGGGGTCATTAGTGTCTAATGCATCAAATCTATTCTTGAGTTGGTCTCTAAATTCAGGTGGGATATGTTCAAGATTCTGTTTTGGCTCTTGTGGATTTGTTTAAAATTTCTTCAGCATCAGCCTGAATTTGCATATGAGCAATTGATGGTTTGTTTCACAGTCTGCTCCTGGCCTTGTTTTGACTGATGATATGGATGGAGCTTTTCCACCGTATCTTTCCACGGATGCAGTCAATTTGATTCCTGTGTAATTCTATCTGGTTAGGCCTTTTATGTTGTTTAAAAGAAGGTGTTTGCAATGAATTAGTCATTATTCTTGCAAAATTCTATTATGTGATCTCCAGCATCGTTTCTATCACCAATGCCATATTTTCCAATGACTGATCCTTCCTCTTTGTTTCCAATCTTCGTATTCCAGTCACCAGTAATTATCAATACATCTTGATTGCATGTTTGATCAATTTCAGACTCAAGGAGTTGGTCCAGTTCCTCACTTTCATCATTACTGGCTTTAGTGGTTGGTGAGTAAATTTGAACCATAGTGGTATTAGCTGGTGTTTGTTGTTGTTGTCGTTGTTGTTAAGTTCCGTGGAGTTGGTTCCGACTCATAGCGACCCTGCACAGGGTTTCCGAGGCTGTAAATCTTTATGGGAGCAGAACACCTCATCTTTCTCCTGCGGAACCATTGGTAGTTTCGAACTGCTGATTTTGAGGTTGCCTGACTCGTAGGCATATGGATACTGTTATATCACAGACAACATTGTACTTCAAGATAGATCTTGAAATTTTTTTTTTAGGATGAATGCAATGCTGTTCCTTTTGAGTTTGTTGTTCCCGGCATAGTTAACCATATAATTATCGGATTCAAAATGCCCATACCAGTTCATTTCACCTCACTAATACCTAGGATATCAACGTTTATGCATTCCATTTCATTTTTGACAATTTCTAATTTTCCTAGGTTCATAATTCATACATTCCATGTTTCGATTATTAATGGATGTTTGCAACTACTTCTTCTTATTTTGAGTTGTGCCCCATCCACACACTCAGGTTGAAAGCTTTACTCCATTCGGGTCATCCTGGTATACCACTTTGAGGAGGCAGCTCTTCCCCGGTCATGTTTGAGTGCCTTCCAACCTGAGGGGCATTTTGAACCCACCCAGAGGCACCTCAGAAGAAAAGCCTGGTGATCTGTTTCTGAAAGGTAATAGCCTTGAAAACCCTAGAGAGGCATCTACTCAACCGCAACTGGAAAGCAAGACGACACAGAATTGGGAAGGAGGAAAGCAGGAAGGTGGGGGAATCGTGGAGTCACTTGGGGGACTGAGTTTCTTTGAATGGTGGTGGAATGATCTGGAGTAGGGGGGAACCGGGATGCTGTACAACATGGTGAATATAATCAACGTCCCTGAATTGTACATTTAATGATGGTTATATTGGCAACTGTTTTCTTATAGGCCTGTATATTTTTACCACAATTCAAATAAGGCTATGCATGGATGAGACATATAAGGCATTCTTTCCCCCTTTTAAAGTATTTGTTATTGTGTCAGGGGCCAGTTACCCAGCATGCTGGCAGGTGTTAAATCACTGAAACTGTGAGATGACTCCACATATGGTTTATGTTTGCCGAAAACTACCCCGTTTTCAGCAAGAATGGGGATATAAAGGAAATCCAAAAATCCACTGTAGTCAAGTCCATTCTGGTTCATAGTGACTTTATAGGACAGCATAGAACTGGCCCCATAAGGTTTCCAGGCTGTCAACTTTACAGAAGCAATGGCACCAACAATGTAGGAAGGACAGAAAATCAGTACAGATTGAGGGTATTTGAATGTAAGTGAAGCTGAGCAGAGAGAATGGGAACCACTGTATCAAGAGCAGGCAAGAAGGTGCTTCATGGGAACACAGCCTCAGACAGAATTCAGACCTTCAAACTGCAAGGTCAGGGGGTCAAACTCACCAACCGCTCCTCGGAAACCCTACACAAGATCACTACAATTCAGAACCTACTTGATGGTTAACACCAACCATAGTAGTCATGCATTTTTAAAATTTTTTTATCTTTACAAACAATAAAGGCCTGATCTTTGTTTCAGTAACATCCGTTTCAAGGGGAACTTTGTATCAATTTCAACATTAAGAGAGTATCCAATTAGGAGTTGATCTCTTGAACAGTTTGGATCAGAGGTTTCCTAGCTCCCATTAAAGAGTATAGTTTACATGCTATGATTCTGGAAGAGATACAAGTTTGACTCATAAAATGCATTGTGATTCAGAGCAGAATTAATGAGCAGATGTGTGATTTCATACATAGCCTATGGTACGATTCTTTTTTGCTTGTTTGTTTGTTTTTAATGGAAATTTAAAAGAAATCGCTTCTATAGTTCTGTCTCTTTCATTTTTTCATGGGACGGCTCATAGATCATATGCATAGGCGTGAGCTCTGGGAGTTCAGTAACATTGCTTGTACAAAAAGGACCTGCAAGTTGGGTTCTGAGTAAGTCCCAGTATTAGTATTACATTTAGGAAAGACCAGAAACTTGGCTCCTTTAATATATATTTACCTAGCTTCAGAAAGCGCCGACCTCCATTTTGGTATTGTTGTGTGCCATCTAGTTGATTCTAACTCATTGCCACCCTAGACATTAATGGAAAATAAATTTATATTGGAGTAGAACTGCCCTGTGGAATTTCCTACAAGGTTGCAGTCTCCGGGGAACCAGATCACTAGGGTGATCACAGAGTTGCTGATGGGTTCTAACATTATCCTTTAGGTTAGCAGTGCTTGCTCATTGTGTCACCAGGGCATGCCTTAACACTGTTCTAAGGAGACCTGGTGGCGCTCTGGGTTAGGTGCTGGGCTGTGAACTGCAAAGTTGGTGGTTCACACCTTCCCACTAGTTGTCCGTGGGGAGAAAAATGAGGCTGTCTGCTCCCGTAGGGTAAGTACTGGACTGTTCATCACAAGGTCAGCAGTTCAAACTCACCAGCCGCTCCTCAGAAACCTTATATAGGGCTGTTTTGAGTTGGAATCGACTTGATGACACTTAACAGAACAACGAGCCCTGTAGAGCAGTTCTGTTCGGTGCTACAAGGTGCTCGGAGTTGGAGTCGACTTGGTGGCAGTGGGTTGGGTTGGGTTTGAGTTTAGACACTAGTCAACCCGCAGCAATTCCTCTACCCTAGGAAACTGGCATTCTAGTGACACATAATCAAACATTTTGGGAACATCACCATGCTAGAGGAAGACGATCAGCGATAACTCAGTTTCTTTTTCTTTTAAATCGTATAAACTTACAGCTGTTGTTGTTAAGTGCTGTGGAGTCAGTTCTGAATTGTAGCAACCTTTTATAGGGTTTCCGAGGCTTTAAATCTTTGTGGGAGCGGAAAGCCTCATCTTTCTCCCATGGAGCGGCTGGTGGGCTTGAACCACTGACCTTCTGGTTTGCAGTCTAATGCTTATCCTATGGAGCCACCGTGGCTCTCCAGAAACACATAGAAGACTCCTGGAAACTTATTTTCCACTAATTTCTCGATTTTGCCAAATAGCCTTTTCCCCTCATTAACAATGCATACTCTATTCCCTAAGTAGTGTAGCCAAGACTTAACATAAATTGATAGTGCTCAGCTACTTATTATAAGACGAGAGTACTCACAAAGAATGCACCTTATCTCTTTAGGTATAATGAAACTTTCAAAATGTCCTGAATACTTGCCAATTTCTCACTTTGCTTCATTGATGGTATTCATTGCTACATGCGGTCCTTTTCAGGCTAGTGAGGTTGCACATCTGTCCTTAAAGAGTGAGTTATTTTTCTCTCCTAGTGACATAGAGTATTAGAATGGACAGGGAGGCGAAGAGTCCTAAAATTACAGTGTCACCTTAGAGCTGAAGACACTGGGCCTACTGAAAGTGAGTAGTGCGTGGTCAGGTTGCTCAGTGGCACCAGCGTAGTCACTGTTGGGACTTGTCCCCCAGTCCTGTCTAGTACACATCCCAGATGGCCCACACTCTAACTGATCTTCTGGTATTTCTTCCCAGGTTACGGATCGCCCTGGGAAGGAAGACTTCTGTTCTCCTCCATGTACTCATTACGAAGTCCCTCCAACTTTCTATCGTTCTGCCATGCTTCTCAAGCCCCAGTTGGGGTTGGGGGCAATGTCCCGCTTGCCATCTGCAAAGAGCAGGATTCTGATCGCAAGTCAGAGGTCTTCAGCGAGCGTCATCCATCCACCGGGACCTGTGACGGCCACTACCAGCCTCTACAACACGGATTCTGTAGGTAAGCCCTGCTTTCTCCTGCAGTGTCTTTCAGCACAACCTCATAAAATGGACGCAACTCTCTAAAATATGCCTTCCTCTCACCCTTCGAGACGGCACCCTTTCTCTTCTTCCAGTCTGCCTGCAAATCCAGACATTTGTCAAAACTCATGTCTTTCTTTTCACGTCACCATCAGAGTGGGAACCCTCAGTCCCACCTCCTGGCTGTTTGTAATCTCTCCCTTCTCTCATGGATGCCATGCATCAGGGCTCAGAAAGCTTTTGCTGTCAAGAGCAAGAGAGTAAATACTTCAGGTTTGACAGGGTCTAACTGTGCCCATCACAATGATTTCAGTGTTATAGCTTACAAGCAGCTGTTGACAAAACATAAACAAGTGAGGCTGCGTTCCAATAAAACTTGATTGAGAGAGGCAGGGGGTGGGCTCCACTTGACCTGTTGGCTGTGATTTGTCAGAGTCATCTCCTCACAGCATAGCACAGAGCCCACCAATATCTTGAAAACACCCCATTTTCTAGCAGACAGACTGGACTCCTTCCCTACTCCCTCCTCTTGCTCTTCCAAGTCCTCTGCTTGTTAGCTTCCTTCCCTCCATCCCTCTGCTCATGTGGTTTCCGCCTGCGTTTTTTATAGTAGTTTATTTCAAAAATGTGACTCAGCCCTGACCATTACTAAATATTCGATCAAGGGTTAGATAGGAGAATCCTGATCTAAAGGGGCGGGGCAGGGACGGTTGAACAGGATATCATATTCAGTTGGAGTCCAGACTTTTTAGAGCCTCCGAGTCTTGATAAAGCCCTGAAACTATTACCCTGGGGAATCTCTGATCCTTAAACTACAAATATCCCCTGAAGTCTTCTTAAAAATCAAACAAGAATTTAGTTTAGCTAGTCCACAGAACTATCAAACTGGATCAAATTAACAGCAGCAGCTTGGAAGTTTAGATACAAATCTCAGGGAAACAATGAGTTTGTGTGAATGGGGGAGGAACAGTTTGGCAAAGGAGGGTACGAATGTTGTACAACTTGAAGAATGTCATCAGTGTGTGTGCCTGACTGGTGCAGAGATAAAAGGCTGAATTGGTGTGTGTTCTGCTGCATATATTTTCAACAACAAAAATAGAGGCAATACATTAAAAACCTAACAGGAAATTATGTGATTTAGAACAACAACAAAAAATTTCCCATCCGTAAAAGAAATGAAGTCCTGGATACATGTTGACATCATGAGGCTGCGGTCACAAAGATCAATGTTCTACAATTCCACTCATATGAAATATGTAAGCAAGTGTATAGAGACCAAAGTTTATTAGGGTGACAAAGGTGGGTAGAATGGTGTGGTGAGGGCAGTGGGACTCATTGCTCCAGGTGCACCGTGTTTCTTTTAAGTTGTTGTTGTCATTGTTGCTAGATACTATCAAGTGACCTTTGACTCCACAGAACGAAACACTTCCTGGTCTTGTGCTAGCCTCTCTATTGCTGTTACACTTGAGCGCACTGCTGATGCCATTGTGCCAATCCGTCTCTTTGGAGGTTACCTTTTTTGCTGATCTTCCGCTTTACCAACCTTGATGTCCTTCTCCAGGGACTGGTTCCTTCTGCGAACATGTCCAAAGTATAAGAGATGAAGTCTCTCCATCTTGGCTTCTAAGGAACATTCTGGCTGTACTTCTTACAACACAGATTGGTGTATTCTTCTGGCAGCCCATGATACTTTCAATATTCTCCTCCAACACCACAACTCATATGCATCAGTTCTTCTACGGTCTTCCTTACTCATTGTCCAACTTTCACATGTATATGAGGCTGATGAAAATGCTGTAGCTTGGGTCAGGCACTCCCTAGTACTCAAACTGACATCTTTGCTCTTCAACACGTTAAAGGGGTCTTGTGCAGCAGATTTGCCCAATGTAATACGTTGTTTGATTTCTTGACTGCTGCTTCCATGAGTGTTGATAGTGGATCCAAGCAAAACAAAGTCTTTGACAACTTAGATCTTTTCTCTATTTATCATGATGTTATGTATTGGTCCAGTTGTGAGGATTTCTGTGTTCTTTGTGGTGTTCTTGTTTCTCTTCCATTGTTGTTAGGTAGGTACTGACTCAGAGATACTCCGTGTCTAATAGAAGGAAACACTAACTGGTCCTACAATAGCCTCCCAATCTCAGCTGTTGAAGCCCATCATTTTATCCACTGTGTCAGTCCACCGCGTTGGGGGGTCTTCCTCCTTTTCTCTGACCCTCAGCTTTACCAAGAATTGGTTCTTTCTCCAAGAATTGGTTCCACCCAGTGAAATGTCCAATATGTGAGATTAAGTTTTGCCATCCTTGCTGCGGAGGAGTATTCTGGCTGCACTTTTTCCCATACAGATCTGTTCATTCGTCTTGCAGTCCATGGTGTAGTCAATATTCAACATTCTTCACCAACACCATTATCCAAAGTCATCAATTCTTCTTTTATCTTTCTGATTCATTCTTCAATTTTCCCATGGTTGGAGTCAGGTGCACCCTAGTTCTCAAAGTGACATTAAAAAAATTTTTTTTTCTTTTGAACACTTTAAAGAGGTCTCTTTATTTTTTTATGTTTTATTGTGAATTATGTGACAGTTTACATGGAAGAACGTTAGTTTTACATTCATCCTATCGTATATCGTCTCATTGCCATGGCTACCATCCCCTCCATGCATCATCAACCAACCAAAGGGTACATCCTACAAACCTGCCCCCTCCTCCCCCCCGTTGTCAGCACACAGCCCCACTCCCTCTCTGGGTCTAAAGTCCCCAGCTGCTCCATCTAAAGAGGTCTTTTGCAGTCCATTTCCCCAGCACAATACATTGTTTGATTTCTTGACTGCTGATTCCATGGGTGTAGATTGTGGATCCAGGTAAAATGAACTCCTTGATAACTCCAATCTCTCTCCTCTATTTATCATGATGTTGCTTAGTAGTCCATTTGTGAGGATTTTTGTTTTCTTTATGTTGAGATGTAATCCATCCTAAAGGCTGTAGTTTTTGATCTTCATCAATAAGTTCGTCAAGTCCTCTTCACTTCCAGCAAGCAATGTTGTGCCATCTGTATACCTCAGGTTGTTGATGCATCTCCCTGCAGACCTGATGTCATGCTGCTGTTCATGTAGTTCATTCAGCTTCTGGGATTGTTTCCTGAACATACAGATTGAATAAGTATGGTGTCAACCATGACAAACACCATTACTGATTTTATGCAGTAATAGGGTTTCTGAGGCTGTAAATCTTTACGGGCGCAGAAAGCCTCATCTTGATCCTAAATGTGTATCTTTGGTGGAGATTTCTCTCTAGGTTCAAAACACAGCGTCCCCTCATTTGGCCTCTTGGAGTGTGTGCAGGTTCCGCATGAGCACAACGAAGTGTTCAGAAATTCCCATTCTTTGCAATGTCGTCCATATTAGACAGTGATGTCTGGTTGTGGTCAGTCCGTCGGGTATCCTTTCATACATCAGCAGGCCATTCTTCTTAGTCGCATAGTTCAGCTTCTGGGATTGTTTCGTGAATGTACAGATTGAATAAGTATGGTGTCAAGATACAACCTTGACACAACCTTCTTAGTCCAGCTTAATCTGGAAGCTCTATGGAAACCTGTCTGCCAGGGGTGGCCTGTTGGCATCTGAAATACCAATGGCTTCCAGCATCACAGCCACACACCAGCCATCCCAGTCTGACAAACTCACAGATTCATCAGAAAAACCAAAGCAACATTTGATCATCGGGAAGTATGGAAAAAATGTTTTTAAAGACCATTATCTCACCTTACTACTCACAAGATAATGCTTTTAAAAAAAAATTTATTTTTTTTTTGCATACTTCCAGATTGCAAAATGTTGCTTCCTGCTTTTCTGATCAGTCTTTCTTACTGAGTTTAGGATCTGCACTGGAAATGCTGGGCAGAGCAGACGGGAGGCAGTAGGACTGTGGTTCAGTCCTGGTGCTTGAAGTGCATCCATGTGGGTTCTCGGCCCACAGTCTTTGCTTACTCTCATAAGTAAATATCTCTCTGTCCCTCAGCTTCTTCATGAATAAAGTAAGAACCCCCAACATCTAAGGCATGATGCTGTTGAGAGGACTGAGTGAGGAAATCTGAACTCACAACCTAGGGATGGGACTTCAGAACACCATCCATGAGTCCAGTACCTCTCCCTGGCCTTCCCTTAGCTTTCCTCACACCTCACACCCTCATCACTACTCAGCACCTACGTGGCCACCATTCCGCTCCTCAAGCTCACCAAGCTCTTTTGATCTATGGGTCTGTGTATTTACTCCACTTTCTAGAATGTACTCCCTCTGGTCCTTGTCATGGCTGAGCTGAGCGGAATTTTAAAGGATAAAAAGAAGCTGTCTAGACTGAGAAGGAGGTAAGGGTGTTTTTGTTAGGTGGCACCGAGTCAATTCCGACTCATAGTGACCGTCTGCACAACAGAACACTGCCCGGTCCTGCCCCATCCTCAATTGTTGATACACTTGAGCCCATCGCTGCTGCCACTGTGTTACTCCATCTCATTGGATGAGCATTGTTGTGAAGTGCCATCGAGTCAATTTCAACCCACAGCAACACTGCACAGGGTTTCCCAGGAGCTGGTGGTGAGCTTGAACCACCAACCACCAAAGTCAGTTCAAACTGACTTTGCAGTCCAGCACATGAATCCACGGTGCCACACTGGGGTCCCTAATAACAGACCCACGCCAGAGTGTGTTCAGTCGCCTCATATGCATGCAAAATGAAGTGTTGGCATCCTTACTGCTAAGGAGTATTCTGGCCATACAGTCTGGCCAACGAATAAGGAAGACCGAGGAAGAATAAATGCCCATGAATTGTGGCACTGTCCAAGAATATTCAATATACCATGGAGTGCCAGAAGAATGAACAATTGTGTTCAGGAAAATGTACAATCAAAATGCTCCTTGGAAGGGAGGTTGGAGAGATTCAGCTCATGTACTTTGGACATATTATCAGGAGAGACCAGTCCCTGGA